ACGATCCAACCGTCAAACTTATTTGTTTATACTTCGAGATCATATACGCCAAAAATCGCAAAAAATAAACATTCAGAGATCAAGTAACGGGACAAAACTTTTCGACGGTTATAAATGAAAAATCTTGATTCAACGGTTATTTTAACTCCGATTTTGATGATTTTTTACCGCTACACTCCTTTACCCTATATGAATACAATGACTGAATTTGATCTTCAATTTAAAATATTTACACTAGTGGATACCACAAAATCTTATGTTATATTTAACAAAATTATAAATAAACTCTTAATTGTTAGTGAATATATTGTTTTGATGGCATACACATTCTATGAAAACTAGTTTGAACGATCCAACCGTCAAACTTGTTTGTTTATACTTCGAGATCATATACGCCAAAAATCGGAAGAAATAAACATTCAGAGATCAAGTAACGGGACAAAACTTTTCGACGGTTATAAATGAAAAATCATGATTCAACGGTTATTTTAACTCCGATTTTGATGATTTTTTACCGCTACACTCCTTTACCCTATATGAATACAATGACTGAATTTGATCTTCAATTTAAAATATTTACACTAGTGGATACCACAAAATCTTATGTTATATTTAACAAAAGTATAAATAAACTCTTAATTGTTAGTGAATATATTGTTTTGATGGCATACGCATTCTATGAAACTAGTTTGAACGATCCAACCGTCAAACTTGTTTGTTTATACTTCGAGATCATATACGCTAAAAATCGGAAGAAATAAACATTCAGAGATCAAGTAATTGGACAAAACTTTTCGACGGTTATAAATGAAAAATCACGATTTAACGGTTATTTTAACTCCGATTTTGATGATTTTTTTTATAGCTACACTCTTTGACCCTATATGAATACAATGAACTAATTCGATCGTCAATTTAAAAATATATTTTCTAATAAAAACCCAATCCAAAAAACAATAATATATTTTTCTAACAAATATTTTAAAAAATATTTTATTTATTTTTATAAGGACTTTGCGAGACGAAGTTAATTGTTTCGTCGCGCAAAGTAGCTTTGCGTGACGAATTGTTTTTTCGTCGCGCAAAGTCGCTTTGCGCGACGAACTGTTTTTCGTCGCGCAAAGTTACTTAGAGCGACGAATTTTTTTTCGTCGCGCAAAGTTACTTTGAGCGACGAATTTTTTTTCGTCGCGCAAAACAAGACTTTGAGCGACGACGTATTGTCGTCGCGCAAAAGTTGGTCGCGCAAAGTCTCTTTGAGCGACGAAAAAAAATTCGTCGCGCAAAAGTTGGTCGCGCAAGGTTTTTAGCGACGAAGTTTTGAGTTTCGTCGCGCAAAGTGTCTTTGTGCGACGAAAAATTATTCGTCGCGCAAAATTTGGTCGCGCAAGGGTTGTTTTGTAGTAGTGATATTTGCATTTTTTACATGTGGTTATAGATTCCTCTCTTTTGATTTATTTTTTTAATTTTTTTTTCTGTTTGTGCTTATCTTGCGTTCTCTTTTTGAAGTCTCTCTTTGACCTTGAAGATGCCTAAGGTTCTTGGTTACTGTCAATTACTGAGAATCCTGTTATGTCATTTTCACATATAGCTCAGACAGACTAGCATATACAGCCCTTGATTATAAAAGGGTGGAACCACTTTCTCTTCATATAGTATTGAAATTGTATAGCAAGCTGTAAAATTTGTTGTATTACCGTATGTGGAATACGGAAAAGCACGTCATTCCTTTTGTTGTTAAATTTTATACTTTTAGTGAATTTGAGGGTTATAAATGGAAGTGGAGAGAATTGAGTTCAGTTGTGTGAGTGAAATTATGCATCTTTGTGTGTTATTTCAGGGTGTGTTGTTCTGTTTTGATAAATGGGAAGGCAGCTGTGATTGGGTTCCTATTGTTGTTAGATTTTGAAATTTTGACTGGTAAAGGTATTCTCAAGGGAACTGACTTCTGCTTGGACTTTATTTACTCTGTTTGAAATTGGCTTTCTGAAATGGAAGATTTGAATGACTGACGAAACAGAGAATATGATTATATGTCATATATTATATTGTTGTTTTTCAAATAGCATTCGTCTTCTGGCTGCTCCTATCCATATATATAATGACAAATAGTGTATTTGGATAATCAAATTTGTTCTTTATCTTCCTTTTCAAAGTTACTAGGTTTAATTGTAACTGAAAAAAAGTTACTGGGTTTAATTTGTGCTTGCACACAATATATATTTATTCTCCATTTGGCTTAACAAACTTATTAATGGTGCTCTTTGCATATTTTCAGGATTGATACTCAATCAAATACAAGGCGATTTCAATCCCTCTTTCGTGTATGAGCCCTCATAAAGATGACATTTATATGCTTTTGTTGAAGAACTTTACTAAATATTCATTACATTTTTGTGTTGTTTTACCCCACATTGTATTTCAGTATCTTCTTGAAGATGTTGCTTTGGAGCCCAAACGGTTGACTAAAATCCCTGTACAGGTCAGTTCATGCCTTTTTTTTAACTTTTACAGGGAACTTTTTACTTGATGTGGATAACTGTCATTCTAGCCATGACATTGATTGAGGAGCCAATATATTTAGCATTGTTATTTAAAATTAACCTTAGAATTCTTCATTAATTCTCAGGTCCAGCGATATCTATTTCTTTTACTTTCGAGGTTTATATTTTTTTATAACTCAGGTGAGTTTTCTGGTAATGCATCTTCAGCTCCTGAATGAAGAAATTGTAAATTCTCCAGTAATGTGTTGATTCTTGCAGTTGACAAACTCGGGAGCTTCTTAAGGCAATTTCCTCTTGGTTGTAATTGACAGACAATTTTTGCTGCTCATCTTGGTGAGGAGCTTGGCTTTTGCATGAGTAATCTCTCTCTCTCTCTCTCTCTCTCTCTCTCTCTGTATATATGTGGGAATTTTTAGAATTTTGTTAAAACTTGCTTTTAAGAGAAGGAGAACAAATAGAAGTCATAGGGTAAGATGGGAGAAAAGGATTATTTATCAAAAAAAGTTAGAATCACTAAGTATAGGTCGGTTTATCAAACCCTAATTATCTTGATCTCTGCATGTATCTAACACAACCATGGTCAGTGGTCACCTTATAACAGTGTACGTGCTTCATAGGTTTGTCCAGGCGATTGCTTGATGTATAATTTTAGAAGGGTAATCTACTTAATATTTCAAAACCTTGGAACATAGACTTCACTTTTGCGTATGGTTATAAACTATGCTTGGTTGAACTGTGTTCGTTTGATTTGAATTTGCTGAATTATTTCAATTTTGGTTTTTCTGATACCTCACTAACCATTTGATCTGGTCTGCTAGCAGTTTATGAATATGACTGAACATATATGAAATAGAGAGATCAACTATGACTTAGTTGCTCCAAAGATAGAACCTAGATCTCCTTATGTCTTCGTTCAATTTGAGCAAAACTTAAGATTCACAACCCTTATCAAATGTTTTAAGTGTAATGAACAAAACTGTAACCTATAACCAGTTATTTTTCCTTTATTTTGCTTCTATAACCTTAAGTGTTTATAGGTTATTTCTACTTTTATAGCCTACTTCTCCATTAGATTAACTTAGCCTAAAAATGGCAACACATGTATGAGTTTTTACCATTAGTAATTCCTTTCCTTCTTCGTTTCCTTTTGAAAATCATTAATCATTGTAAGTCAAATTTTTATAGATGATTCTCTGATTTATGTATATATATATATATATATATTTTTTTTTCATCATTTCCTTTAAAAATCATTAATTATCATAAGTCATGTACTTTTAGACCATTATCAGAAACAGAATCTATATGTTTTTATTTTCTGCTCTTTTGATTGTTGCTTGATTTCATTTTTTCGGTTACTTTTGTTATAGGTGCTGTCTAACTGCTTCTTGGACTGTTTGATAGCTCTTCCCATTGCTGTTAGGCAACAGGTCAGTTTTCTATTCTTCTTTTGAAGAGGTCATGCATATCAACTGTGGCAAATTGGCTTTTAGATAGTGTCATTAGAAAATTGTTATTTCTATGGTTGTGATGTTTGCTTATATCTGGTTTGCTTGGTTAAGCTATAGAAATTGTATTTAATTTGTTTTTAGATGATGTGTTGTTTGAAAATTCTTATTTTTATAGATACAGTACTGTTGGCGTGTGTCTATTTTTCTTGATTAGGTTATAGATGTAATAAAAATATTATAATTTAACTGCATGTTTTTTTTTTTTTTTTTTTTTTTTTTTTTTTTTTTTTTTTTTTCTTTATCCAGCTATCTGTTGGTTGGAATTTGTAATTTTTGAATATCATGTCTAAAAAGATTGCAAAAAACCAGAAAAAGCCTAAGGACACAGGAAACCCATATTTCTGCCACTTCGAGTGGTACACAAATCTGTCATGAAAATGTTTGTTACATTAATACTGAGCATAAGCATGAGGCCAAAAAAAATTATGGAACCAGAGTTTCCAATAGAGCTTTCATAGTGCAGCAACCCTATAGTTCTGGTAGTTCAGCTGGTATAGAATGTTCTCGCGAAAATGTCTGTTGCATTAATACTGAGCATAAGCGTCAAGCCAAAAAAAATTATGGAACCAGAGTTTCCAATAGAGCTTTCATAGTGCAACAAGCCTGTAGTTCTGGTAGTTCAGCTGATATAGAATGTTCGCGCAAAAATGTCTGTCATCCTAACAATGAAAATAAGCATAGTGACAAAAAAAATTCCAGAACGAGCCATAAAAAAGCCTTTCAAGCTGAGAACAAGAAACGAAAATGTGTTCAAAATATATGCTTTCGTGACATAAACACAAGTCAAACAATCAGAGAGGAGATTTCATTTGACACTTCTGATCAGATGAATAAGGGTCAAGCATTTTATCAGAGGAAGAGGCAAAGTACGTTTTTTCCTCTGTTAAACATTTATTTTCAACCTTATTTTTATATTACTCATGGCATACATTTGTCTTACATTTTTCTCTTTTTGCCCTGTTCTATGTTTCCTTTCTTTGTAGGAATGATGGAACAGTATGTGGATTTGGGAGATGAAAATTATAAGTGCATTTATTGTGGTGCACTTTTTTGGTTCAAAGAATCTATAAAAAAAACGAATGCAGCCAATGAGCCTCTTTTTACTCTTTGTTGTCAACAAGGAAAGATCAAACTTCCGATTTCAAAGCCAACACCTCATTTGTTAGAAAATTTACTTGATCCGGGTAAAGGCCCAAAAAGTTTGTTGTTTAGAGAGAATATCAGGGCCTATAATTCTATGTTTGCATTTACTTCAATGGGAGCCAAAGTTGATCACTCAATTAACAGTGGACTAGGTCCATACATTTTTAAAATTAGTGGTCAAGTTCATCATTTGATGGGTTCTTTGTTACCCCTTGAAGGCGAATGTCCAAAATTTGCTCAGCTTTACATATATGATACCCATAATGAAACAATGAATCGCCTTAACGCTGTTAATTGCGAACAACAGAATGAAAAGCTTGATGAAGACATTGTTCAGGGTTTGATTAGGATGTTTGATGAATCAAATGAATTGGTAAAACTTTTTCGAACAGTCAGAGATAAATTTGAAGGGGGTTTTCTTACTCCTTGAAAACTGAGATTATTGGGCCGGCAGACAGATGATGGTAAACAATATGAACAACCGACATGTGATGAAATTGGTGGTTTGGTTGTGGGAGATATAGGCCTTTTTGATTCGAATAGAGATATTGTTGTAGAGTTACAAGCTGGAGAGTTAAAACGTATCACAAAATTAAATCCAAAGTTCATGTCTTTACAATATCCTATTCTTTTCCCTTATGGTGAAGATGGCTATAGACCTGATTTAAAATGGAGTAATGATTACAAAGGTCATGAGCCCAAAAGAGGAAGGGTGCCTATGAGAGCTTTCATAGCTTACCAGATTCAGGAAAGAGGGCCTTTATTGGATACATTGTTAAAAGGTGGAAGATTGTTCCAACAGTTTTTAGTAGATTCTTATGCAACACTTGAAGAAGATCGATTGGATTACATTAGAAAAAATCAAAAAAATTTGAGAAGTGAGATTTATAAAGGTATTTATGATGCAATTTCAAAGGGTGATAGTGATGCTAATAATGTGGGGCAAAAAGTGATATTGCCTAGCTCATATACTGGAAGTACTAGATACATGCTTAATAATTATCAAGATGCTATGGCAATTTGTAGACATTATGGTAATCCTGATTTGTTTATAACTTTCATCTGCAATGTCAAATGGCCTGAAATTGTTAGAGAACTTGATACCAAGCCTGGATACAAGGGAGAGGATAAACCTGATCTAATTTCTAGGGTGTTTAAAATGAAGCTTGATGATATGATCAGTTATATCAAATCAGGAGAAGTTTTTGGAGAAGTTGAAGCAGGTGAATTTTACCAACTCATAATTTCTGCTATCCTCAATTTCTTAGATTTTTTAAATGATAATAAATTATTTTTTTTTTTTTTTTTTTTTTTTTGTTGTTTGTTTTCACACAACAGAAATTTGCACGGTCGAGTTCCAAAAAAGAGGATTGCCTCATTGTCATATGTTGGTCTGGTTGAAACAAGGTTATAAATGCTTCTCAGCAGTAGATATAGATTCCATCATTTCTGCTGAATTACCAGATAAAGATGTGGATCCTATGCTTTATGATATTGTAAACCAATTCATGATCCACGGTCCTTGCGGAGAAATCAACCGTAATTCTCCCTGCATGCGGGGAGGTGTGTGTTCTAAATCTTTCCCCAAACAATACAAGAGTCAATCAGTTTTTGAAAAAAATGGTTTTCCTACATATATGCGCCGTGAAGATCCAACAAAATTTGTGTTAAAAAATGGAATAAAAGTTGACAATAGCTTTGAATCATGTTGCCAATCAATGCTTATAAAATATCTTTTTAAATATATAAACAAAGGTTCAGATAGAGGTAGAGCAGTTTTTCAAAACAAGCCAGAGGATGAGACATTAGCTTATCTTAATTGTAGATACATATCTCCATATGAAGCCGTTTGGAGATTGTTTCAGTACCCTATTCATTCTAGAGAGCCTGCTGTTGAACGATTATCAATACATTTGCCTTTAGAACAAAATATTGTTTTCAATGGTGATCAATCACTTGAATCAATTGTTAGCCAAAAAGGTATTGAAGATACAATGCTAACAAGTTGGTTTAAAGCAAACCAAATGTTTCCTGAAGCGCGAACATTGACTTATGCAGAATTCCCTACAAAATTTGTATGGGATTCTCGAAGCAAAATTTGGAAACCTAGAAAAAGAAGGAGATCAATAGGTAGAATAACCTATGTACATCCTGCGTCTGGTGAATTGTATTACTTAAGAATGCTTTTGAATTTGCAAAAAGGTGCCTTAGATTTTGATCACATCAAAACTATTGATGGTATTATACATCCGTCATATCAGGCTGCATGTAAATGCCTTGGTTTGTTAGGAGATAATAAAGAATGGATTGAGGCCTTAGCAAATGCTGTGAACACAGCCTCATGTTCTCAACTAAGGCAATTGTTTGTTACAATCATTTTGTTTTGTGATGTAGGAAATCCTCAATTGCTTTTTGATACTCATTGGCAAAATATGTGTGATGACATTTTGTACAAACTACAGAAAGCCTTTCTAATGCCAAATCTTATTTTGTCAAAATCTGAATTAAAAAATTCGCTTTTGTTTGAATTAGAACAACTTTTTAACGCATCATCTAGCTCTTTGAAAGATCATTATCTTCCTATGCCTGATGAACATAAAATGTCAGAAATTAGAATTAAATTGCTAAGAGAAGAGTTAAATTATGATGTTCATCATTTAGAAAAAGAACACTCAATTTTGATAACACAGCTAAACAAATGCCAAAGGGATGTGTATGATTCTGTGATTAATGCTGTGAATGAAAAGAAACCAGACCTTTTTTTTGTTCATGGCCATGGAGGAACTGGAAAAACTTTTTTGTGGCATACTATAATAAGTAAAATTAGATCTGAAGGCAAGATTGTTTTAGCTGTTGCTTCATCAGGAATAGCGTCATTATTATTGCCAGGTGGTAGAACAACTCACTCTAGATTTAAGATTCCCTTAATTGTTACCAATTCCTCAACATGTCAAATTAAAAAAGCAACTCATCTTGCCAGATTGATTGAAAAGGCTGAACTGGTTGTTTGAGATGAAGCTCCTATGAATCATAAACATTGTTTTGAAGCATTAGATAAATCGCTTCGTGATATTTTATCGCATGTCAATGATTCAAATCAAAATGCTCCATTTGGTGGCAAGCCTTTTCTGTTAGGTGGTGATTTTAGACAAATATTACCAGTTATTCCAGGAGGAACGAGAGAAGAAATCATAGACGCCTCTCTTAATAGCTCTTACCTATGGCCTTATTTTAAAATATTTTGTTTAAAAGAAAACATGAGGCTATCAAAAAAAGGATTGAACAGTGAAGAAAAACAGAAAATAAGTGAATTTGCTGCTTGGATTCTTCGAATTGGAAATGGCCAGATAATTGATATTGATGATCCAAATGATGAAGAGGGACCTTGGATTGAAATTCCTCAAGATTTACTCATTCAATCATACATAGATCCTATTCAATCAATTTTTCTGGCAACTTACCTAGATTTTGACAAAAATTTTGCCGATTTTGCTTATTTAAGGGAACGAGCCATTATTACAGCTAGGAATTCTACTGTGACAGAAATAAATAATTACGCAGTAGACTTATTGCCTGGAAAAAAACACGTTTATTTGAGCTCAGATTCTTTATGTCCATCATCAACCAATTTTGAAAACCTTTGTATGATGTATCCCGTAAATTTCTCAATCAACTTGAATTTAATGGTTTGCCTAAACATAGTTTGACTTTAAAAATTGGCATGCCTATTATGTTATTAAGAAACCTAAATCAATCTTCAGGTTTATGTAGTGGAACAAGATTAGTTGTGACCCAAATGGTTGATAAAGTTATTGAAGCAAAAATACTCACTGGTCGCCACATTGGCCACAAAGTGTTTATACCTAGGATCATTCTTTCAGCAACAAAAAACAAATGGCCTTTCATTTTTAAAAGGCGTCAATTCCCAATTAGGCCATGCTATGCTATGACTATAAACAAAAGTCAAGGTCAATCTTTAAAACAAGTTGGGTTGTATCTTCCCCAACCTGTTTTCACTCATGGACAGCTTTATGTCGCATTATCTAGAGCTACATCTAGAGAAGGCCTCAAAATCATAATAGATAATAATAAAGAAGTGCCAAAGAAATACACTAAAAACATAGTGTACAAAGATGTTCTTCAACATTTACTATCAGGTTTCAGCTACCTTCTATTCATACATGATTAAACATTCCTCTATTTTCTACAATAATTTTTTATGCATCTTTATACTAACCAAGGGCATATATATATTTTCTTCAGATTGAGGGCACAATGAACATTGTTCCGATCCACAATTTGCACCCCTTTCAATCCAGTGTGAAAATTAGAGAATGTGTGTAAAACCTGGAGACCAAAGGTGTTCAGATCTGATGCACATTCAAATTAACAGGTATAAATGTTAACAAAACATTTATAAATTTACAAATGTTACACCTCTTATTAGTTTTTTTTTTTTTTTTTTTTTTTTTTTTTTTTTATATATATATATAATACAGGAGTGGGAAAATTAGAGTCACTTTGTGGGGCGGCACAACGAAGACTTTTGATGTAAAAGCTTTACAAGCCTCAAAGTTAAACAATTTCAGGATATACAATTTATTTCTCCTACTTTCTTTACCTATTCTTATTAAGCAGGTAAAATCTCTTTGTCTCTCTCTATTTGAGCATGTGGATAATAAACCTTAGGAGCTTAATATCTATTTGCATCTAAACAAAATAAGATTTAGAGATGATATTTTGAACTATTTGGTGTCTTTGTTCTTCCCTGCATGTGCTTGGAATTACAATGAAAATTTCCTTTCATTCTTTTTTTAAGCTTATGGATTAGAACATGGAGACCAAAAGTCTTCAAATCAGATGATCAATTTTCTGGTTTATAATGTATCTCGGTAGATACAATGGTGAGGAAATCACTCCCTTATACTATTTCAACTTAAATAGTAACAGGACATACATGAATTCATATATTTGCTTGGACATTGATGTTTGGCTATTAACGCAGCTCTTATTAAACAATTCTTTTTGTTATGCAATCTAGCTAACCCCTACCATTTGTCATAACAAATTTTTTAAATTTTACAATCTAATCGTTAACAAATTTGTTTACTTTTGGCCAACAATTTACTTTTAAAATGTTATTGCTTTCAATTGAATGCACATCCATAGTTAAACAACTCAATTCATTTGCAATATCTTTCTTCCTCATTAATTGTCAATGCATTTGTTTTAACTTTTCCCTTTATCCATTTTTTTCCCCTAATAATTGAACATATTTTTCATCTCTGGGTAGCATTCCTTTTTCTACTTTGTTGGTTAAGCCAACCCGATTGTAGTGAGTAGAAGGAGATTTACAGTTTCATATTTCAACAGTTTCATAAAGAAAGCATTTAGGTAACGTACGGACTATGACCCCTCTGTTGATTTCGTGGTCTTCTTCTGTTTTGTGTTTAGCTAATTTTAGTAGTGGATTAGGGTTTCTAAATGCCATTTAATCACTCTGAATCTCAATGTTGTTGTTACTGATTAGCTGTGATTTTCCCCAAAAATATGTAGCTTAAGTGTTGATGAAGTACTCATCAATATGCTTGCTCAATGTTGTTGTTCTTTGAATCTGTGTTTTGTTGTGATATTCGGATTTCTCATACATTAGACCATGCTTCCTCTTTTTGGTTCAATGTTAAAAGCATTTAGGTTTGATCAGTTTGCTATCTCTAATTTTTGGATCCTAATGGAATTTCTTTGATTATATATGTTGTTTCTCCAAAGCACCAATGAAAAAAGCATTTAGATTTGATGGGTTTGATGTCAATGGTATGAATCTCTATCTCTCATTTTGGTTTTGTTTTTGGTTCACCAAATGGTTTTCGTCTATTTTGATTTTCTGATTTTTTAAATTATTTTTCGGGGATTAATCTCTCTCTCTGTCTTCTGAATATTGTTAGCAAATTAAACAAATCAACAAATTTCCTTTTCTCTCCATCTCTGCTTTCGCTTACCTAAATTGCATTTGTTTTTTTGGCATCGGCATATGGTTTCACTTTAATTTCTGGATATTCTTAGGTAACGCTCAGATTTTGTTCTAGAACACCATTTTTACAGAAAATATTATCTCTCTTTCTCTTTGGGTGATTTTGTTATCCATTTCTTTTGCTTTTTCGTTCTGGCTAAGCTTTTACTACAAGCATTACCGAACCTCTCTTCGGATCCAAGTTTTTGGTCTATGTTTGTGGGGAGTCTTTCAGCTTCCAAATTTTGCTTTAGTTTCCACACTGGCCACTGATTTGTGTTGGACTTTGTGTCTCTCTCATTCTCTGTCTTGCTGTCTTGCTCTGGGTATTTTTATTTTTGATTTATTTTTTACAAATTTCGCTTCATTTATTTCGTCAATTTGATTTCAGGTTCTTGGGTAATTCCTAATGCTATATAAGAGCTGAGGTATTTATATATCACAACATATTGGTAAGCTTCGAATCTGGTTCAATTTTCTCTATTAATTTTAGTTCTTATTCTTTGAGTTTAGTATTGATTCTGTGTTTTTGGTGGTGTAGGGTTATGAGATAGAATTTTCAAATCTTCGATGACAACGACAATCACTACTACATTTTTCACTTTGCGCGACGAAGAAAATTTCGTCGCGCAAAATACATTATAGTCGCACAAATTTTAGCGCGACAGAAACTTCGTCGCGCAGATTCCGTCGCGCAAAGATCGTGGAGAAAGACTTTGCGCGACGAAATTTTTTCATTCGTCGCGCAAAGAGACTTTGCGCGACGAAAAAATATTGGTCGCGCAAAGCGACTTTGCGCGACGAAAAATATTGGTCGTGCAAAACTTTGCGCGACGAAAAATATTGGTCGTGCAAAACTTTGCGCGACGAAAAAATTTTAAAATTTTTTTTTAAAAAAATTCCCTCGTCCCATTTTTAGTACCCGCCCAAATTTTTAGAGTTTTGCGCAACGAATATTAATGTCGCACAAATATTTGCGCGACGAAATATTTTGGTTTTTGACTTTTTGTTTTATTATTTCTTTAATATTAATTTAATTATATTAATTATTTCGAATTTTAAATTTTTAAATTAAATTTAATTGTATGATTTTTTTCGTTACTTTAATTTAAATTGATAT